ATAGAAAGCATTTATATAGAAAAAGCATAGCACAAAACGCTTGTGTGAATGGATGAATGAGGCAAGTTGCGTAAAGTGCTTTGAGTGCTCAGATAGAGTAGGAAAGAGCTATATAAAAAACAGCTACATCTACACTTTTTAAAAGTCATATATATATTTGGTATGCATACTTTTGACCCTGTGTGGATTAAAGAAAATATCATTCAAACTTTTGATCCAATTCTTGCTTTCAAAGTCATTAAAGACCTATGCCACACAATCATTCCACCTTGGAAAAAGAACACTTCAAAGAAATCATCAAAAGCCCAAAATTGCCATGATATTCACTTCCATGATGAGTGGATGTAAACACCTGACCACATCTGCATATGTGGGAACCATACTGACCAACATCCTGATAGCAAAACATTTTCTTCTGTACCTATAAATCCAGTATTGATAAGTTTAATTTAATGTGTAATATTAGAACAGAAATCTAGATAACACAGAATAACAGTGTGTTAAGTTTCTTTATTCATCACAGTGTTATTCTACTCAACCCCAAGCCCCTCCCTGCAGAAACTACAGGTCTCACGAGTCGCTAAGACTGTGTGAACAAGTGCCAAACAGAAAGCAGGTCAAGAACAGTGCTCTCCAGACAGAACACTTGGAATGGCACAGTTTAATGGATTAGGCTGGTCACTACTCACAAACACAACAGAGTGCCTTCTGGCTACGTCTTTCAAGTGATTAATAGAGTGCTTTAGGATGCAAAATTCCTCTCCAGTAGTCGCAGTTTGACTAAGATTTTGCTGTTTTTGGATGTTACAGTATCAGGACAACACTTTTATATCACCATAACAAAGCAGTGATCAGAGGCATTAACGCTTTAATTTACAGCAGACTTGTTGACAGCTGACTTGGCACATCAGTGTTAACCAGGTGGTTTTATGCAGCCACTGTGTGGAAAACAATTACATGTTTTATTACACGACCATTAATCTGGTTTAACCACATCAAGCAGCATTCTGGTCAGCTTGTGAGTTAGTGGTTATCAGATACCTGTTGTTAGCACTGACCAGGCCTTGTTCTGCGGCTTCAGTGGAAACAAATGTTTGCTGATGTTATCTGGGTCTACACACGCGATATTAGCCCTTTGGAAACTGCAAACGATGCTTTGTCGTTTAATCGTTATAGTGTTATAGTGCATAGCCTTAATACAGTTTATTCTGAGATGCTGTCTTTAACACAGACCAAAGAATATGATGCTGAGGATCACACTACCACATCCTTGATTATCCTTCTCAATAATTAGTTGACTGTAAAAACTGTAGCATCGTTTTCCGCTGAGGTAAACAAACACAATTACGAGACCGCAAACACACCTCATAAACTGCCCTACCAAAGATGGTTCTTCTCTGCAAACCATATTACTGTAGTCTCCCGCTAACACTGGACAACTGCTAAAGGCTGCTCTCCACTCACTTTTATAAGCAAGCTCACACTGCACAATAACTAATGTTAAATGGCTGCGAGGCCAGCTGGATGCTTTCCAGGTGCTCACCGCTTTCTTGTTCATTGCCTTTCTTGGCAGTTGCTGCGTTTCCCATGGTAGGAAGACAGGGCGATCCACAGCTGGCTAGGAGCGATGATGGTGGCGGTTAGCTAACGGGGGGGTACTCCGTTAGCTAGCTAACAAATATCAGCTTTTGCTAGCTGGCTGGTTGAAAACGACATCAATGTCTTCCCTTTGTGCACAGAACTTCGATGTGCTCTGCTCACCGCCTTGTTGATCAAGGTCCTTTTGTCATTCAAGTATGCCTCCGCTGGAATGACAACATGATCCAGACTTTTCACCTCTGACTGCTGTCGTTTTGTGCTGCGTTCAGGTCATATGGGAATACCCCGGCAAGGCTTGCTCGGTGCAATGTTGCCTTCAGGTACCAGTCAGAAATAGTGGACTTATGTCTACATTATACTGATTATGTAAAACTGCTGTAACCTAATGTGTTGCTGTTTTTGGCTCTTGTTTTTATTGGTATATTTGACTATATTTTCTTTTCGCGTTTCACCTCTTCAATAGAAACGTCTTTCAAGTTAATGTTTGTTTTCATAAAATATTTAATATGGCCTTTGACCTGATGGCCACTGTGTCATTTTTTTGGCATTTAACAGTTTGTCATTCTACTTGCAATAAATGAATTAATTAAAGCAAGTTTTAAAGGATAAACACACACATATAAATCTAAGCTGATATCACAAAAATACAGCTGCTCACAAAATAAGACGTCCATTCCAGCTGTCATAGGGTGAGATGGGGCTAACACAGACAGGCAGGCAACCACTCATACATAACCCCATGCATGTGTTTAAACTGTGGGAGGATTCTTGAGCACCCAGAAAGAACCCATCCATGCATCCATCCAACCCTTCTCTTTTGCTTATCCAATTTAAGGTTGAAGGAGGGCTGGAGCCTATCCTAGCTGTCACAGGGTGAGAGGTTAGGTGTACACACAGAGAATATATAAGACCAATACAAAAAAGGCCCTATGCTGGATTAAACCCATGAGCTTCATGCTGTGAGGCGTCACTATTAACTGAAATGCAGATAAGACGGTTATAAGAATATAACAAAAGATGATAATAGATTATAACCAGTAGTTTGGGAATTTGCTCGGCAAGCAGGGGTTGCTAGTTCAGTTCCGGCTGGAGACACAAATCTCTCTTTAGGGAGGAAGCGTGTCAGGTGAATGAAATCAAACATGCTGAGCTACCTGCTGTGGCGACCCTTTTGTTAAAGGAAAAGCCGTATTGTTATTCTAGAATAAATAAAAACAAACAAAGAAACACACACTTTAAGCTTCTCATCCCCCCAAGTGTAAACACACAAACACACACACCCCCCAAAATAAATAAATAAATAAATAAATAAAACTTTATCATAAACTAGTATTCCGAAAATACAGGTTCTTCCCCACGAGTCTTAAAATGTGGCTGTAGTTTTGGACACGTTAGTGAACTCGGAGCGGGACGCGCCCATTAAATGCAGGGTTGTTTTTAGCACCATGGTCAGCGACACAGTTGCTAGGTAGCTGCCCTGTGTTTGTATCAGTGAGTTGAGGAGGAAGAGCTGTACCTACACTAAACAACGACCTGAAGATGTACGAAATCTCATTCGCAGTAGTGGTATCGCTTTTCCCTTCCTTCACAGCTACTTAGTAGATAAATATAATATGTGCTGACTTAACATATACGCCGCTCAGGGTGCTAAATGTCACGTAGTTGCCAGATCTCGAATGCAAACTTCAGCACTTCCTTCAGGCTTCCCCCCCACTCTTACACAACGAATGGTTTTGCCCATGGACTCGCTCCAGCACTCCTAGCACACAAAAGCACTACAATATACAGATTTTTGTTGCCTGTCAGCCAACGTCTGTTTGTTGTTTAGTGGCGGTAACACGAAGCAGGCACTGTTAAAGTCTTGTAAACAGTCCAGTGACTGGAGGGCTTCTGCAAAGACTTCTCCAAACGGTGGCTGTGTCGTCCGGATGAGAGCAGCAGAAGCTACACTGCCAGCGCTCGGAATAAATAAGGTAACGTTGAGGGGCTACTTTGCTTTCGCCTGTGCATTCTTCGCTAAGCATTACAGCTAAGCTAGCTGTAGAATAGCCTGGGGGTCATTATGTTGTCTTTGAGTAATTGTGTCATTAGGGAATATATTATTTGTTTTTATGTTACAAAATTGAATAAAAATGCTCTCATTCGACTACACTGTAAACGTTGCAGTGACGCTGAAAGTTAACTGGATGGTCACACTGCCAGATTGTTTCCTTGTGCTTTGATTCTTCCACCTGACCTATGCAATAGCAGCCTAGCGTTAGCTACTGCTTGCTAGCAACTCATTCATGGCAGGAAAACACCAGCTCAGGCTATGTGACATTTCATTTGTGAGCACAAGCAGTTTTCTTGAAAAGCCGATATATTACACGCGAGATTGTAAGTAATCGTATTTGGTGCTAATCTTTAAATACGAGGAAGATATTTTAAAAAAGAGGGGGGGATGGCCTATAATCCCACCACTGATCTGGAAGATACCATATTGACTACTTTGCTGTGACATGCATAGATTCCCCCTTTTACTCTTGTGCAGCAAAGCGTTTTAGTTCAGACCAGCTTTGCAAGAACCCCTATTTTATGGGTGAGCAATGAGAAGCTTTAATTATATGATGAATACGGAGCTTGAAGACTGGATTGATTCTGTGCTTTTTGCAGTCGAGTGTGCCACTTGCAGACCACATGCCGACAGGGCACCCTGCTAGTGACCATTCCCATCCGCGCAGATGGATTACATGTTAATAACAAGCTTAACATATTCTGAATGTCATCCTGCCTGTAGGCCATATGCCAGACACACGGTTTTTGACATAAATATAAATATGATATGTTTAATCTCTTATTTTCATACATCTTGTGATGTGTAGTAGTAATATACTTTATTACATTTGAGTAAAGGTTTTGTGTGAGAAATTTAACCTTACTTCAACCATTCCACAAATGCTAGTAGCATTGAAGAGAGGTTCACATTTTTACAAACTACAGGCGTATGCTGATGGGGTTTTTTTACTATGTCCCCTGTGCTCTGTGCAAACTGCTTTGCATAGTAAGCAAAAGATTTCATTAAGCCAAAGGCTTTCTGCCCTTTTTCTGTTTGTAAATCACTTTTCATTCAGAGCTTTGTGCAACTGTGGACTGAGCACTGTACACACTGTCCATGTTTTTTCACCCTGTCCCATTTTATGTAGATAAAGCTTGTAGATTGCAGTTAATGTATTCAGTAAATTTCTTTACCAAGGTGTTGGTTTTAATGTAACATTTGACAAGTTAGCATAAATAATTTCTGATGAAGTTATGCTTAACATTTAACTGTTGATGTATTTCAGTACCCTGTGGGCTGACAGCTCCCACACTTGTTCCTCTTCATATGTTGAGGAAGGCGTGAAGTCAGTGTTGGGTCACTGGTTGGAGCTAATTTTAGATCCACTGCAATTCAAAGCTCTCTGCTTTCCTGTGAGAATTGGCCACAAATGTAGCCCTCATTATTTTTGGGCAGACAATGAGGTGTCAGTGGTCAGATAGTTAACTAAATACATGTAATTATGCTATGTTTATTTTATTATAATTCCTGGTTTTCACTGTTAAAATATGCAGTGTCACTCTTACAGTTTTTCACATGAGCAACGTTTATTGAATCCTTCCAACGTGTTCTCAAAACGTGGCAAAACTATTAAACACATCAAAACTCTTGAAATTCTATAAAGTTTGAAAATATATGGAGTAAAAATTAGAAATTGACACCCCCCTCAAAGCACAAGGAAACAAAGTGATATACAGAAACACAGTAAAGAGTCAAGATTACAGTAAACGAGAGATTTATATACAGTCATGTAAAAAAGAATGCTTTCACATCCCACGATTCAGTAGCCTGCAGAACAACCTTTAGCAGCACTAACTTGATATTATCAGGGGATTATTTTTACAGTCATGTGAAAAACAAAGTGGAAACCTAAGTACACCCCATTATTTAATAGCTTGCAGAGACATTTTAGCTGCAGCTACTTAAGTTATTGAATTGAAGTAATTGTTTTCTGTATATCTGTCACGTCTGAGGTAAGGAGAGGACCCAAACGCTTAACTTTAAAAAGGCAGTTCATTTATTTACAACAACAAATGTGCAAGCTCCAGCAGTGTGGCTCCCAAGATGATTCCTCCCGAATTCCTCACAGTGCAAACGTGCATGGCGTGAATCGTGACGACAACGAACTCCGATCCCCCGCTGTGGCTCTGCTCCCGTGCAACACCCCGCTCTCGACTCCTAGTGAAAAAATTCCAAAACACAAACAATGACTAGGTACCTTTCGGTAAAGAGGTTTTCAAAAATAGAAAGCCGTGGCTGCACTAATGAGTCGAACTCAACGATCCACCGTCGACTGAAGCTCAACGCTGGTGCAGACTGTAATCAGCTACACCTGGCAGCAGCTGATGAGCTGCAGGTGTGGCAAGCTCCAGCGCGGGAACGCTTCCAGGATGAGCTGCCCTCGGTCCCGATCGTCCTGTAACAAAACATAAACACAGGGAGGGGAGGAAGGGAGAAACACATAAAACATCACACACATACACAACAGCGGAGAACTGCCACACTGTGACAATATCAGTCTCTCACATTGTTGTGGAGGCCTGCTCCTCTTTCAAAAGTTGCTTCAAAATCATTGAAGTTTGGACATTCATTTCTTGAAGGTCTTATTACACCATGTCAGTCGGCAAATCTTTTTGACTGGGCCATTGCGACACCTTGATTCTTTTTTTTTCTTTTTTAAAGTCATTCTGTTGCAGATTCGCTTGTATGTTTGGGATTATTGTCCTGTTGCGTGAATGAATTGTATGTAAGCTGCAGCTGTTTAATAGATGGCCTCACATTTGACTCTGGAATACTTTGGCATATAGAGGAGCTCATGGTTGTTCCCTCCACCACCATGCTTGAAGTGTTTGCGCCTGATACACTGTGTTTGATTTTCGCCAAACATGGTGCTGTGCATCATGGCCCATCTCCATTTTTGGATGGTCTACCTAAAACACTTTGTTGCAGAAGCTTTATTGTTTGTTCAGATCCAACTTTGCAAACGTGGAAACCTGGAAACGCCATTAGCGTGCTGCCTGCTGTAACCCTAATTTCCTTCGGGATTAATAAAGTATTCTGATTCTGATTCTGATTAAGCTGTGCTGCCATGTTTTAGAGAGAAAAGACTTTCTCCTGGTAACCGTTTCAAAGACGCCATACTTGTTTCTAATTGTACTGTCATGAATTTTAACATTTAACATGATAAATGGGGCCAGTAGAATCTGAGATGTAGCCCTTGTGTTTTATGCACTTTTTCTGAATGTTGTGTGCTCTAACCTTTGGGTATTTTTGCTGCGAGGTCCACTCGTGGGAACACTTTGGCTTTGTGTTAGCATGCCTGAATGCTTCAGACTATCAAACTACCAAAACATCAGATTTAAAGATCTATATTTATAGCTGTGGTCACAGTTAATCAATTAATCAAATTCATTTAATTAGCAGCATCTGGCTGCTGCTTACCCTCTTAATTCCTATGGAAGCAGCAAGGGTGTAATTAGTTTGCAGAGGACTGCATAGAGTCCTGTGAAATGTTTCTTTTTCACATGACTATGTGTAATACTGTTATTTCCTTTTGAAAGTGTCCAGTTTCACTTCTTACTTATCCAGCACGATTACAAGAAGTGTGAATCAAGTAAGAAGTTAAGTAAATGTGATATTGGGTAAGATGTGAAATGTTCAACACAACTCTGCTGTAGCATTATAAAGTAGAAGAGCATCTCTTTGCAAAAATATGTTTTACTGGGTTAGACCAGGTTTGCAAAAAAGTTCAAATGAAGTCGGCAAATTGTTTCTAAATAGATGGAAACTGTTGACGATTTTGCAGAAACAGCAAGAATTGGAGTTAGAAAATGCCACTCACAGTTTTCTGCTTAAATTCTTTGTTTACATTTGCGTTTCATCTGTGATGGAGCCATGCTGTAATAGTACAACGTGACTCCATTCTTAGCCAGTGCCTTCTTCTGAATGCTCGTACATCCCCTCGGGTCCCAATGCTGCCGTAATGGCGGGCATACTGTTATGTACATAGAAGAACTTCTGTCTGGAAATCCTGCTCTTTCAGTATAACACAAGGCTAAATGGTATTTCCCCAGGACTTTCTATTGATTCTGTATTTGATTTCTGCTGATGTAGTTTCATGTTAGGCTGGAGGAATATAAAACAAGCCCCTCTGGGATGTACCACTAGTTGTTGACGGGACTTGTGTAATAGGTGTGACACAACCTTGTCATGTACAAACACAGTCTTCTGCTTAAGCTCTGCTTTTCCTTTGACTCACTACTTTCAGACTATTTACGTGGTCTTTGTTTTTGGTATAAAAGAGGTTGTTTTAAAGAGTGATTTGCTGTCATCTTAAAATACTGAGATAATATCATCCTGTATTGCACGTTCTGCAAACCATACCAGCAAAATGCCCCCACAGCCAAACAGAGCCACTGTATGGGTCAAGGACTCAATTGTTTTCCTTTACTTTTCCACTTTGCCCGTGTGGGGAGACCACGGTGTGTAGTAGTATGACTACACATTTACCACCTGTGCTGGATAATAAGGGTGAGATTGTGCATAACAATGCCCTGAAAGACAGATATGCATTTGTTGAGCAGCATGAAGAGCTGAGTCGCTACAATGAAGCCTTTCTGTGTCGTGTGGCAGGGAGGGAAAGTGCATGAACTAAGCATCTCTACCAGGTCTGCAGTCATAACACTGCAAATTCTCAGATGGCCCTTTGGCGCACCCTGTTGGTGAAAATGTGCTACTGCAGCAGAGGATTAAGTGGAAACTCCACTTTATTACGATTATATGTAGGGACGAACAGTAATTTGTAGGGGAGACCGGGGATAGTTGTAACATTTTTGACATTTCTGTCTGTAAATTGGAGCTCTTTTAAGGTAGTGGATTCAAAATGTAATGCAAAGTATT